ACTGTCTGATGGTCCCTGTCACAGGAACTTTGTAGTGCTCTAGAGCAAGACCATGCGAAGCTAAAAATGGCCAAGGAAGCTGTAGAGCAAAGGACACAAGAGCTGAGGACAGAAAGAGAACTTCGTCATAAAGACCTTGAGCAACAAATGTCTTTAAACATAGATGAAGAGAAATCCTGCCAGGTTGGTTGTCGGAGGACTCATCCTGGGCTTGGAAAGGTGGCAGTGGGTGGTGGGGCTGCATCACTCTGCTCACTGCTCTGAGATCACTTTGCTCTGGACCCGGTGGAGGTTTCATGGGACGTTACACCAGGCCTGTGCCGAGAAGTGAGCTAGTGCCACGGCGGTGGAGGCAGGGCTGTAATCAAACGCAAGGAGCCAGGGCAGGGCTGCAGACAGTCAAGAGCAGAAAAACCGTGTGGGTGGAACCATGTCCAAGAACAGTGCTGTGCTTAAAGCAGAGAGCACGTTGCTCTCTTGCATCCTGGTGCTTCCTATACTGCTCCCTCTTTCTTTCTTTCCAGGTGGACATTTTTTCAGCAAAGGAGGAAAGGAACAGATTGAGGCAGGAGAAGCAGGTGCTGGAAAACAAGCTGGAAGAAGTGAGGAAGAGGGTCCTCTGGGAGGATCCAGCGATGGTAACAGAGTGTGTGTGGCACTTGGGTCCGCTGGCAAGGGGCATGAGCCTGGCTGCCGCGAATGCAGCTGGGCACTGTGGACGACTGGCACAGCTCCTGCTAGCGGGTGGCTCCTCTACCAGGGCCAGAAGCTCCAGTCATGGCTTTGCAACTCTAGGCACAGCCAGAGAGTAGGAGAGACTCTGCTGAGGCTCTGCAGCTGTTTATTTTGAGCCATGAGCTTGTTTCTAGTCTGTGGATTGGCAGGGACAGGCCCTGTGCAGGGTCCATGCTCCTCCAGGTGCTGTCTGTGTACTCGAACCTAGATGCTGCCTGCCTTGCCAGAGAAGAAAATGGTGTTTAAGGGACTTGTGACAAACAAGGAGGACATGAACAAGCTGATGCTCACCCCACTGATCCACTACCCTCTGCTGGGGGGCTCAGCTCTCATCACCTTTGAGAAGACAGAGGGTAAGAACAACAAGAGCATAGCCACAGCCAGGTCACCTGGTCAGTTGGCTTTGGCGCCTGCCCTGCATCACCTCCCTGGGCCAGGGCTCAGAGTTCTGCCCCCTCTGCCAGCTTTGTGTGGGGTTATGCCCCCTCCCCAAAGCATGAGCTGCCCCATGTCCTGTCCGGCGGTGCACTCGGAGCAGGTGGTCGATCCCCTGTGCTGGGGGCTTTCTCTCCTTGCAGTGGCGCAGAGGATCATAGAGCAGAAGGAGCACATGGTGGAACTGAGCTATGGGGAAGAGCTGGAGGAGATTGACCGGTGCAGAATGCGAGTGCAGGCAGCGCCGGTGGATATACTGCTGCCATCTGCCCTGGAGGTAGGTCCTGAGGGCCCGCTGCTCCCCACACCACAGAGAACCACAGAGCTGCCCTGGTCACACACCAGTTTTGCTGTGCCCTGCTCCGCCACTACCCCAGCTCGCCTCTGCCAGGTCACTGGTACCAGCCCAGCTCAGCCCATTAGCACTGCAGCCCTGCGCTGCTCCCCCAAGCTCTGAGGCCAGCCCTGCCCTGCCCTGCCCTGGCACTGACCGGCCAGTGCCGCCCGCAGATCAGGCTGACTCGGAGCAGCAGGAGTATCATCGTGTCTGAGCTGCCCAGCCTGGGCATCCCTGAGGAGGCACTGCTGGACAAGCTGGAGCTCTTCTTCAGCAAGACGAAGAATGGGGGTGGTGAGGTGGAGAGCAGGGAGTTCCTGGACGACTCTGGCCAGGTGGTGCTGACCTTCGCACAGGACAGAGGTGTGTGGGGCGTGCTGAGCTCAGGCTGCTGGCAAGGGGCGAGCAGCCCAGCTGGCTCTGGGGGGCACGGATCATCTCCTGAGAGCAGATGGAGCTGTGTCTGGGGGAAACAGGGAAGGCAGAGTGAGCCCAGGCTGTTCCGTCTCCCCTGAGACTGTGCTGGTGCAGGTGGGCTGGGCCTAGGCAGTGCCAGCCTTGGTGTGTGTGCCAGGGATGTAACCTCTCTCGGAGCTCAGCAGGGCCCTGGGAGGCTCAGGGCTTTCCTTTCCATCTGCAGTGGCAGAGCCGCTAATTGCGAGAGGAAGCATCCAGGTGCTTATTGGGAAAGGAAAGTACGAGCTCAAAATATCACCGTGTGTGAGTGGAGACATCACTAACATGCAGGTAAGGGCACAAACCCTGGTGCCAAGCAGCGCCTGCCAGCCCAGGGCGAGGCAGTGCAGGTCGGTGCTCCTGAAGGCCATGCAGCCCGAGGCGCGGTTCCTGCAGGCAGCCCCCAGCAGAGCAGCGAGTGCTCCGAGGGGATCCCTTCCCCAGGAGCCCTCCGGCTGCCCCGTGCAGTGCAGGGCC